TCGATGTTTTTCGTGAGGTCGTACGCGAAGTCAACCGAGCGAGTGGAAGATGAACCATTGGTAATAGAAATTTTGATTGGCAAGTGGTCACTACCGTAGGGATCTTGAATTACCTTCCACGAGCAATCCAACGATAGTGAACTCGAACTGAGGGAGAGGTCTAATCTACTTTCTCTTGCTGGAGGTTTGGCCACTCGTGTAACTTCCCCAGTGTTTAGAATTGTCATATTGAAGTTATCGCAAAGGTTGTATACCAGGGTTGAGCGGTTGTCATCGTACAGTTCCCCCAACCGGTGAACACTCGTATTTATTTCAGTTGCCGTTGGGACGTAATTTGTGATTATCCCCGGTCCCTTTCAAATTGTATAATTATTTATGTACGGTCCTTATATTTGAAATGACGTTTCACATTCATCTAGTGATGGCCGATTTTCATTCGAATAATCGATTAACGAACCGAAAAGTAAAATATTTGTAATCGGTTATATCATGCCGATATAAGCATTAACTTCTCCAGAGGATCATCACCAATCGTTTCAAACATGTGCTGCACTCTCATTGGTAGAAAAATGGCAGCACAGCGAACAAAAAATAATCGATTAGTTGTTAATCGAGTAATTAAAAAATGGGACATCTCTGATTTTAATGTGATTGTTTCGATAAAAAAAAGTGCGCAGAATTTCATTTCTACCGAGGGGGCATCAAAACCACAAAATTACCTTGTATTCATTGGATGAAAGGGACCGTGAAAGAGGACACTAAAATAGAAAGTTTTTCTTCCGACAGTTTCATCTTAGTATTCATCTTTGGTTCCCCCCGTGGGAGTTAAAATCTCCTAAGATCAACCGAGGCTCAGATAAAACAGAGCAGATATCTGAGAGACCTTGGCGAGAAATCGCAGTTCTCGGTGGAAGATATACTGAGGCAATACTGAGGCATTTACCTCGAATGTTAAGCCGACATGCAACAACTTCAATGTCTGTCACCGAAGGCAGATCGATTATGTAAAAGGAATGGAGCTTGTTGATCCCGAGAAGCACCCCTCCATACGGATCTGCGCGGTGGTTAAGGCGAATAATGTTGAAATCGTGGAAAGCAAGATCGTTGTCTGAAAAAAGCCATGTTTCACAAAGGATAAATGCATCAAAAAGTGAGTTGTTAACTTAAAATTTAAATGCGTCAAGTTTTGGCATAAGACTTCTACAGTTCCACTGAAAAACAGAGATCATATCCCTGACCTCATTTGGAAAATTATCCATCAAAAGATATGATCGATGCAAGGAAGGACCACCTAGAAGCTAGTTGCTTCAAAAGAGTTTTCCCATTGTCAGCACTAAATTAATAATGCTCCTCGTTGAGTCAGAGATATTGAATATACTGAAGAAGCTATCCACAATACCAGAAAACGTGAACATGGGGGCATGTTCTTGCTGATTATTCAGCTGATTTTCTGGCCGAAAACTGGGACATCTGGGGTTTTAGATGATCCTGGAAGTGACGGAAAGTTCTTGTCATAATTACAAGGTTTAAAACCCGGTGGAATGGGTTTCGGTGCATTTCCGTTACCTCTTGATTTTTCCAAGGGGGAAGGGTGGTCCGTACGAGTGGCCTTACGAGGATTTTGAGTGACGTTTTTTTAATCGCTTTCTCGTGTTGCCTTTAAAGAAAAAGGGGCTAGTGTGAATAACTGACCATCAGCGGGAAAGGACCCAACAAACAATTCACAGTCACAAATAAGCATACACTTTGAATAAATGCTGTATAACAGTGTACAATGCTGAATAAAACAGGATGTCGAATTATGTGCTGAAAAAAGTTCATTGAGATCGATAGATGCGCCTTTCTTCCGCCGTTTGCTCTGATATGATTAATTTACTTATTAAAAGCTTTATAAACGTTGACTGTCTTCCTGATTCAGAACCAGAAGTTTGATCTAATAACAAACTGAATAAGTGTAATTTGCACATACATTGTCGCTTTAATTTGACTGTTTTCAATTGCTTTAATAAAATGCTTTATTAGACGTCTTATAAATGTTTTTTTCATTGCGTTGCTTTACAATAAAGGTGTATAAAGGTGAATACAGTCAGCAAAATAGCTCTTATACCACTATGCATCCATGTTTTAGTTGAATGCTCTGTACATGCTTTATAAACGACGTATTAGATTAATTATTCCACAACACTGCCCAAAAAACAATTCAGAGTAACAAATAAGCATATAGATTGAATAAATGCTTTATAACAGTGTACAATGCTGAATAAAACAGGTTGTCAAATTATGTGCTCAGAAAACCTCATTGAGATCGATGATGCGCCTTTATTCCGCTCATTGCTCTGATTTGATTAATATACTTATTAAAATCTTTACAAACGATGACTGTCTTCCTGGTTCAACACCAGATGTTTGTTCTAATAACATACTGAATAAGTGTAATTTGCACATATATTGACGCTTTAATCCGACTGTTTCAATTGATTTAATAACATGCTTTATTATAGTCTAATAATTGTTTTCTAGCTCCATTACTAGATTCCATTGCATTGCTTAACAATATTGCTGAATAAAGGTGAATACAGTCAGCATAATAGCTCTTATACCACTATGCGTCAATGTTTTAATTGCATGCTTTGTAAATGCTTTACAAACGGCGTATTCATTCATTATTCCACAACACTGCTTCAGGCTAACAACAAAACGAAATTGGTAGCATAGTCGTTACCGTTTCCGCTTTCAAATAGAAGGTCGCGAGTTCAATCCCAATCGAAAATATTAGCATCCTTTGCATCGAAATTAGAGAGATGGAGAGGTAACGTTGGTCTAATGTTAAACAACTATGAATGAATTAATCATTCTCACATCTCCTTGAATTAGCTAGAGTTACGGCTGGAAGTGCTGATAGGTTTTCAGATGCAAGCTTTTATTTAGCTGCCCATATGATGTAATCTAGGATAGCTCAGATGGCAAGGCAAGCGGCTGGTGATCGGAAGGTCATGATTCGAATCCCATATAACGACATGTGTGTGTATGTATGTATGTAATAGATTTTCTAGATCTTGTGTGGTGGGTGCGTGCTTCGACCGAAATAAATGACACAACAATCACTAACGAGAACACAACCCTGCTCTTCTGTGTCGTTCTTATTTTCGGATTAATTATCCCGTAGTTGAATAATCGTTTAATATTAAATGTATAATAGTGTCTTATTAAACATTATTTCACATGAGAATCAAGCGTCTATATACACCTTTATACCATCGCTGTTTAAGGAAGTAAATTATGTCTAATAAACGCTGAATAATCAAAAAATTTACCGAATAAGCTCTGTTACAACTCTTGTTAGTCGAATAAAAGCTTCTCGACATACCTTATTCAACACCAAATATTTCGATGTTGTGGTTGAATAAATTCTCCAGATTTGTGTAAACAAAGCCTGAACAGAAGTTATTATTAAAAATAGTATAAGTATTATTAAGCATGAAGTGGAATAAAATCGTCAAGAAGTCGTTTCTTCAATGGGCAATTGTTTGTTGGGGAATCTGCCCGATATCGCCGCACGGCTTACCTCCACGATGGTTGGTGATTGAATTGTCACGAGAATGCAGTGTTCAGTTCGTTGTCCTCACAACGCTCATCATGGCTAACTACGAGTCCCTGCGATAGTGCTAAATGTTCAGCACACTGCACGGAGAAGCATTGGGTGCTCTTTGCACCCACACAACTTCCTTCACCAACCTCTGAGTCAGAGCCCTGATCATCATCTGGCAAATTGGAGTATATGTTTTTGCTTTTTGGGGTGGTTTGGGAAGATGAAGCGGTGTTTTTTAAGAGTTCTGCAAGTGACCTCTTGGAGCGAGCTTGCAAAGACCGCTTAAGTTTGCAATCGTGTTCGTGTATTTTGGCTCACTGGTGACCGCCGATAATGATACCAGCAGATCCGGTCGAATAAAGCAACACGAAATTGACTATGTACAAAACGCTGATTAGACCGGTAGTCATCTACGGCCACGAAACATGGACTATACTCGTGGAGGACAAACGAGTCATTGGTGTTTTTGATCGATGGAAGACGGAACGTAGAGGAGGCGAATTGTCAGCTGCCTACCCGAGCAAAGTTAGAGATCAAAATGAAATCAGAATTTGCTGTTATGATGTAACTTATTTTGAATACTCCATTTGATCTGATTTTGGTTGACTTAACGGTTAAAAAAAAATAGAGCAAAATTTTACACTGTTGAATCAAACAGAAAACTAATTGTAATTTCAATTAAATCAATTTGATTACTGATTGTGCCTTCATAATATTTGATGAATACGAGCCTGTCGTAAATGGTTAGCATCCATGCTTCTCCTGGGGGGGGGGACGTGCTGTCAAATCAGCCTACTGATCATCTTGTATGAAACTGGTTCCAAACGTAAACAAACGCTGTAGGTTTCTTATGGCTTGTTTACGTTTAGAACCAGTTATGCGAGGTAGGCGACGATTGTTCGTATTTGACAGCCACCTCCCCCCCTTGTGCTTCTCACGCTGAAAGATTTGAGCTCAAATGTCACCTCGGGCTAGCTACGAATGACCTAAAATGTGTTAAACAAAACAAATAAACAATAATCGTTAGTTCAATCACAGATGAACTTAAATCAAATTATAAACAAGAAATTAACAGCAGAACTTCAAGTTAAGTTGCTTTGATTTAAAAAGTCTTGACTGCATAATGAAAGCACAATATGATATCAGAGTTCTGTCGCGACAATTGAAATCAAAATGAGTTTTCATTATGATAGGAATTGCAAACTTTAATATCGATTTGCTTTCATTTTGTTAACCGACTTTGCTCGGGCAGGAGGACCAATCATCGTCCACACCGGAAAATAAGCAACTACGGTGAGCTGGGCACGTCGTAAGTATGTCATATGACAGCCCGGTGAAAATGGTTCTTGATAACGACCGAACTGGAAGAAGACAAAGAAGTGCGCTGTGGATTGACCAGCTGGAACGCGACCTGTGGAGCCTTCGCAGACAGCGTGGCAGACTACGTGCTGACATGGATCGAGTGGGATGGAGACGACTTCTATGTACAGCAAAGAACACTTGGACCTTAGCCTAACTGGTAAGGTAAGGTATAGCGAACCAGCTAAGCTAGCTACTGAAACCCCACTGTTACTGAGAAAAATAAGATAAAAAATAACGAACTGATTTTTTTGAAAACCCGGCTTTCTCATACTTTCTAGCAAATCTTCCGTTGGCCTCCCCGTACATTAAACCGTTATTATTGAAGCGTATTTTGTTTTGGAAATCCTTAATATACTTGTACTCTGCACATTTGTCGCAGATTATACTGCCCTTTGAGATCATATCATGAATACTTTTGTCGTGGCAAACAATATGAACCAGTTTGAGGTTCCCAAGCGTGAAAAGCTCGATAAAATAAGTTATCACAGAAAGTTTCTTACCCCTACGGTTATGTATTTTGCAGATTGCATCCGCCTCGTTTTCTATAACACGCCTGACGTTTTCCACAATCGACGGCAGCACCGAGCGGCTTATCTCGACCTGATGATCCAAATTCCACACTTGGAACAGAATCATGTTTTCCCTGCTCGCGTACGGATTGATAACATGCGCTCTGTACTTACATTGCCCTTCGTTCCACAGTCCCATGCAAGGGAAATCCCCTTTGGTATTGCAAAGAGCCACCCGGTACTTCCCGATTGCGTTGCCATCGGTCTCTAGCGATTGTTTTATCGCCAGTTTCAGGCGTTTTGGCAAAATCCTCGGCGCGTCCACTTCGTCCTCTTGGTTTTGATTGTGCTGCTCATTAGTTAGTACCAAGTTTGAAACCTCACCACCAGTCTCTGTCGCCAACCGCTGCGGATGGCCCCGGTCGAATATACAGCTAAAATAATCGAAACCGCTCAGCAGTTGACGGAACAGGTCCAGCATTTCGTCAATCAGCTCCTTGGCCATCGCATTCTGCCGGTAGATGGCACACTTTGTCAGCTCGTCCTTCGTCTTGTAGAAGTAGCCTCGGATGCGGTCCTGACCGCGACGTTGCATGATTTCCTCTTTGGTACGACCAGATTTTTCATCGATTCCTTAAATTGAGGAGGGAGGGGGTGCATTACTATAGACTTTAAAGGGTGTGTTGCAGTGTTAGTAAAATTAGTGGTAAGCATTGTTGTAACGTTATTTCGCTGTTAATACATTTTATTTGTTGTACATAAATAACCCTGATTAGCATGCGTTCTATGTTTCATGATAATAGAAGCTAATAAAAGAAGAGAAATCCACACCAATCCAGCTAATTTAGCCTCTAGCCCAGTAACTCCTTGGTGTCGAACAAACCATGATTCAAAGGGTTGGACATGAGCCGTGACTTTATACGCGTTATGTCCAATCACTGTTCATTAGACTCGCACTTCTATCGAATTGTTCTCTCAGGCAGCAATTTATGTGCGTGTGGCAGTGGTTATCATGATATCGAGCATGTTGTTTGGTTATGTACCCTACACCGTGTTGCCAGATCTGAGTTATCCACATCCCTCAGGGCCCAAGGAAAACAACCCGCGATACCCGTTAGAGATGTCTTGGCTAGCCGAGATTTCGAATACATGAATTTAATGTATGTGTTTCTGCCTGGCCATTGGCATAACCTTGAGGATTGCTTAACTGCAACCAGGTCCCAGGGCTTGTCTGTATCTTTACATTTTGAAAGATGCGCACTAGTGATGCCAGTTGTGATGTAGCGGACTAAAAGTTTATTGGAATTTAACTACAAACCAAAATTAAATAGGGGAAATGACGGCTTCGGCATGACAGACTATTTTCGGCAACCCAAATTGAAACACTATTTTCACTGAATTTTCTTACGAAAACACTTCGCTGAATGCATACAAACGATTCTTTATGCTTTCAGCTTCAATAAGACTATATTTTCACCACTGAGAAAAAGCAATCTAGCAAGGTTTTCTTGAAATGCAACACACGCACTACAAATTGTAGCTGATTTTGAGTTGCCGATAATAGAACAGCAGATTTACATGCAGTTCAAATGGAACGGTTGCCGAAGAAAAACTGGTTGCCGACAGTACTCACTCTCACTAGAGAAGATTGGAGCTTTGTAAAAGCGTTTCAAAACAGTTTTTGACAATTCTTTCGACTGAAATTGTTAGAGCAGCTGGCAGCAAAAGATTGTAAACAAACCAATACTGCATATGTGTGCGTTCCTTAGAGAAAAAGGCTATAGAAAGAAGGTCGCTGCTTAGGTTGCCGAGAATACGTAAATTCCCCTAATTGTGTGGTTTAGAATTATGATTTTAACAATGATTTTTTTTTTAAATAAATTAGTCTAATGACTGCAAGAATATTTTTTTTATTCATTTGGTTCAACATTTTTGGAATGCGACATCACACAGATCCTACCTTTGAATTTGGCTTGATCGAGTGGCGATTTTCTTTTCTTTAGATCAAGACGATGAAGTTTTGAAGAAGACAACGATCATAAATCACAGGGAATAACAAAGTTGGTCGCCGTATTACACCTGGAAAACTAGTGTGAAACAGGCTATCAAGAAATCGGGCCATTCCTTGAATGCTGAGATCTCAGTGAAACTTTTTTTGCCGAGATTTGCACAGCCGAGCTCGGTAGAAAAAACTAAATGTGTAGGTTACACTTAATTGAATGATATATAGCATTTCTCAAATGAGAATGATCCATGCCTTCGTCAAATGACTAAGCAACTGATATCACCCATTCGAAGAAGGTCCCATTTGATAACGAATTGCTACTTTTCTCATTTTCATCAAAAATGTTCAAATGATTTTGAGAATTTACAGCACTGGTTGCAATCTGTTGCAATTATTTGACAACCGTTATAACATGGTATAACCATAGAGGTAACTCTCCCGTATCTGCAGCTCCTTTATTTCTGCCATACGTTTCTGCTCCACCAGTTTTTTTTTTTTTTAGATTATCGTTTAATCGTTTAAACCTGGTGAAACATCCAGCGTGGCCCGAACGTGGTCTCTGAATTTCACCAATGAGACCATTCTAGCTCAAGGTGAATTATAGGCCAGAATGATAAAAAAAAACAATTCTAGAAAGGTTGGGCAGGCCATGGAACTAGAAATACCGGAGAATCTCCCGTGGTCTGGTTACATGTTAATTAAGCGTCACAAGTGATCTCTTAGCATGAGCAAAGCAGAGAAGATTTTTCGGAAAAATTAAATTAGGGACAAAAAGTGGTTTGGTCAAAAGATAGTCAACGACATTTGAAGGATGGCGAAATATACGCAGCATGGAAACATGGATTACAAAAAACTTCCTGGCACAAATTTTATCTGACTGGTCGTGGGGCTTAAAAGGTCTCCTATAGGTACAAATTCATTTTTACTGACAAATTTGCAAAGAAAATTATGATTTGGCAAAAGATCTGCTGCTGTCTAGTCTAGTCTAGTCTAGTCTAGTCTAGTCTACACATACACAGCCAGTACTTGAAAGAATCCTGGAAAATGATACATCTATCATTTTTCTTGTCATTATTAATGCCTGCTGCACATCAAGGATGTGAAACAAACAATAAAGCGGCCAGGCCTACTGTGTAGCGTTAAGTTAATTTTTGTGGAAGTGAATGTTTACCATGTCTACTTAATAAGTATAGACAGTGGTTAACATTTAATCCACAGGTAATCAAAGAGCGGGGACATACCGTACCAACCGCTCCGTATGCAGGGCTATATAAATCGTTGGGAGTGACAGAGCTAAGAAAGTTAATGTACACTCCTTGATTGTCCGATCTCCTGGGATGGAACACGGGTATTTACCCCTTGTGTTCGAGCGTACAGTCCTCCCTCCGTACAAGCGTGGACGGCACCGCCAACCCACTGCCATCCCTCAATCGATCCAGCCGACCTCAGTCGAAGGACAACAGAGAGCGGTGTGCGGACGTAACCTATACGGAGGGAATGCTGTATTCGCCTAGGTTATAGCGCCCTTGCTCGCTACCATTTTCTTCTAGCGGTTGGGACCTGAGCACTAACTCTTGTCCTAGCCCTATATGGCATATGGTTATAGCGCCATTACTCGCTTTCTGAAAAGAGAAGAAGGGAAGGGAAGGAGAGGAAAAGGACTTGGGAAAAGGAAATGCGGAATTCCTTTCCTCATTAGTATTTGTATCGTCAACTTTTATGAAAACTATATAAATCATTCTTCCTTGGTCAGAGGTATTATTACGACATTTGAATAAGATTGTCTTATCATTTCCCTAATAAAAATAACCATAAAAGAGAGCTTAACGACGTGTTCGGGGTATCATCCAAACCCTATGTGGGATGGTTTACCTATCCGAGATACAGTTCGTTTATGGTATTTATTCGATTATCCAATATAAATCGGTAACACTGTCCTGCAACCGATGTAGGAAGCACCAAAGAATATATATAGACAAATCTCAAAAACACAGTTTTAACTGATAGTACTTTATAAACATCAAACTGTCCAATATTGGATCCTGCCAATTATTAGCACCAGAATAAATTGCAACGGACTCACCAAATTGATCCATGAACGATGTCTTGTTACAGTGATCTCCATACTCAAGGGTTGGTTGACTGGGCTCGAAAATAGGTTTTCCTATTCTTAGTATCGGACAAGCGAACCAAAAATCCTGTATGGCCAATCAGTTGATTAGTCAGATGATGAAAGCACAATTGTGGCTGAATGGATTCAGGCTGCTAATCGGAGAATCTGACCCACTTGTAAGGAACACAAAGAGCCACAAAGAACAACCAATGGTGCTAGGTTCCGAGATGATCAGTGGTTTAAGAACTCTGGGGTGGCAAATAGTTGAAGGAACACTAATTACAACTTCACAAAAGTCTAGAAAAAACGGAGCAAAAATTGACGGCTGAAAATTTTCTAAGTCTCTCTTCGAGCACAGCTCACTACGATCTGGCAAAAGATCTGCTGCTGTAGACATAAAACCAAAGTTTCCATCACATATTGCACAATAACGTCAAAGATCTACTGCAGGGGAGAGAGTTTGTTAAAGAGTGATGGCGATGTCAATTTTAAAGCATACAATTTTCTTAGAAAAAACATACACACATATACACACATTCAGCACTCGTAAGCATACACAAATTACTGCAAGTATGGTTGCAACTCCTAAATGGTCTGCCCACATCCACGTGACACAAGCCACACATGGTCGCTTTTAAAACCTTTAACTGTTGGCACAGCATTCGGTCGTCTTCGCACTCCAGAACAAATAGGCAGTAATAATATACATCAAACACCCATGTTACCTCCATCCATTGGCCAAAAGATCATAGTCGTGTGCAGTTGTTATACCTACACGCTTTTTTGCAAACCTTCAAACCATTCCGCGTGCTCACTTCGCAGACTCTTAAGGGTCTGCTCTTCCTGGGAGCGCTGGGCATTCTGCAGCAGTTCGGCTATCTCGCTCTGATTGTTACTGACAAACTCCTTAGCCAGCGTGCCAGCCTGCAGCAGCTCGCTATGGGTAGATTTGATTGCGTCATACATCAGCTGGAAATCTGTATGTAACCAAGGGGGGGGGGGGGTCGAAAGAAATAGTTATAGAAAATTAGGTCAATGACAACCAGAATCGGAATCGGTCTGATTCCGACACGACGAGAGAGAATGATATAAAAATAGGACAAGGAAGAGACTTGCCAGTTTTTACGATAACGTCCCTCTCGGCGACCACGAACAGGACCTGGGCCGGCAGAGTGCAAAAATAATCCTCGTCCAACACTTCGACGCCTTCCCGTGCCAGATAGACGCGACAGTTTTGTAGCTGCAATAAAAAAGCGGAATCAAGTACGGGAAATGAGATATTATGATTTTAATTAAAATCATGTTCACATGACACTAAGAATTTTTTTGCTCCAAGGAATAGTAGGTGCAGTTATTTCAAGGCCGTATGAAATAATTACTCAGCTGGAGTATTTATTATTGCTTTCATAATTTAGTGGAATAACGCGCCTTGCATGGTTGTTTCAGTTACGAATTGGGTCACATATCGGTATCGACGGAGAGCAAGGAAGCGGAAGAGGCGCAAGCATCTCTCGAGAGTACAATCAACCGGGTCAATGTCATTGGCCTTCGTGCATTATCCTTTGTGCATCTATCCGGTTTGGTCCTGCCTGGCGTCGATGTTCGCGTATTTCTGTATCGGTATCGGTGCACGGATGCACCTGTAACAATAGTTGCACTTGCGCTCAATCGTCGACCTCGGTGTGCTGCTGGTAGCTAGTTTTCTCACACTATCAATGCCGTTTATCTCCTTATACGTATAGTGACCTTTAGTTATAGTTCGTTACTGATTCTCATGCCACAGCATCCGAATCAAATAAAGAAGACAGGGGTTCAGGATGGACCATTTGTTGTTGGGTCCCAAGTAATGCAATATAATGCTGATATAAATATTTAAAGCCAAAAAGGACCCTTATCGAATTTGGTGGTTACGGGGGGTATTAATTTTAACCTCGGGTTTAAGTGTTAAAAGAGACTTTTCCACCGAAATCCGTTGAATCTTCGTACCGTAATGCAACGACTAAAGGACGACTCGTTAATCCGAACATTTAATTTATTATTAAATATTTCGTCTACTTGATTCCGATTAATATAAAGAACGGTGATAAAATTTACAAAGGCAAAGATGGTCAACTTTTAATTTTTGGACAAAGTGTCCGGAATTCGAGCGTTTACGGTATTCACATGGAAATGCTAATTAATGAGTGTCAATAGTTGCATTCCATTCCTTCTCAAATTGATGAACTTTTCACAGATCTGCAGAACTGTCACGTTGCTTATAAATCCGTGCTAAGTACACGAGCTCCAATTAAAAATTAGTTTTTATAGACTATAATATCTGTAACACTGTTCATTTAAAAAATAACAACTCAAGGGCTTTATGCACAACCATTAAAAGAAGCACTTCAAAGAAGCCAGGGCAATGTTTAAAGGATGATTTCAAAGCAGCCTCCCTGATACAGTACTGACGAGGTACATAGAATTTTGTATTTGGAGACTTTAACACAAAAACAAAACTGTTTTTTGCAAATTCCTTTAAGATAAGATATAGTTAAAGCTTTAAACTTCAGGTATGCAAAAAATTGGATTAAATAAAAAGAAAAAGAAAAATTATTACAGCTATTTAACATTCATTGAAATAATAATAGTTTTAGCCATTTATATGAATAGAAATAAAGACATCTTAGTGCTCTAAAACTAACTTTAAACATACTTCAAAAAATACAATGACAAGTAAACCCAAAAATGCCACTTCCCCAGCCTCCGCTATTAATGCTTGTATAGAGCAGCTCCAAATAAGGAGCAATGCTATGCTACCCTATGCAGTGCAATGCAATCCGCTTCCCGCACTATCTAGGTCATTCACCTTGAACTTTTCGGAGGCTTTCGTTTTCAGCATCCGAAGCGAATCCGCGGCCACACCGTACTTTTTGCTCCGTTCCACGTTGGTAATCTTGTAGCCTTGCAGCGGACCAGCGCCGGAGGATTTTTTCGATGACAGAAAATTCAACATCTCCCCTTCGATGGACAGGAATTTATAGCACAACACTACGGCGGCGGGCGAGGTCACACTCCACGGAAGGACACACGATAATACCGAGTGAATTCGCACAACACAGAATGGTTATTTTGCTCTCACGAAGATGCAACGCGAACCGCTTTTGGGCGCCTACGACGACGGAATGTGGCTGCTTGATCTAACGACCGACCAGTCGAACGAAAAAAAAATCTCCACTGCGTGGTGTGTATGTTGGTTGGTTTGTTTATGTACCGAACTGGTTGTCGCGATTTTTATGCTTTGTTTACATTATGCGGCTGCGCGGTGGTTGCAAACTTGCTAACCGTCAGCATAAACCTCATCGGCCGAACAAATATCGCATTAGCGAGGGTCTAGTACAAGAGAGAAGCGGATTCAAAACTAACTGCCTTGGCGCGACCCTGATAAAAGTTGTTTGGTTATTTTGCTTAACGATGGGTTCAGAGCACAAACGAAGTGACAGACGGAGCGGCTCGAAAACTTTGGTGACTAACCTGCTATTTCAATTTTTCAGTGTACCACATGGCAACACCACTACTACTGGATTGTACCACATGGCAACCCGCATAAACGCGAACCATAAATTAACCTTACGGATAATGGTTATAAATTGTTTATAATCCCTCCTTAACTTTAACTGAAATGGTTTTGGAACCTTACATGAACGTTTGTGTGATAAAGTTTTAACCTTATGTATTATGGTTTTTAGGAAGCGGACCTTACAAATAATGGGTTGTTAAGAACCATTACCATTTCAAATTCTTGTTTTCTCCATACATTTTCGGAAAGAGAACTATATTAGAATGTTTTTACTTATGGTTTGAGAACATTAATGGTTATGGTTATGGTAGTCAGTAAGGCACATGAATGGTTTTGTAACATCGATCAACTTTATGTGGAATATATCGCGAATTGGTTGCCTGTAAATTAATAATCATCAGTTCGCGATATAAAATTGAAATTCGAACATCCAGATAGTGTCAAAAAGCACAGTGAAGGATACATTTATTCATACAAACAGGCCGCCATTACCGAGCATGGAAAGCTGGATAACAATAATTTTCAATGTCGACAACAAATATTAATGTTAGAGCATTGTTTCCACTGAAAATTTCACTGTAATTTTTTTTCGGGTCATCCAAACCATTTGTGGAATAGTTATATCATTTGGAATACACGCGGAGATGAACCAGCCTGCTGCTGAAAATCTCCTAAATAAAAGAAATCAATCAAATAAAGAAAAGTAGTTTAGCTCATTATTTCACGTAAATTTGAGAATATGTAATTTACTCAAAAGCGAGCTCAAAAGTAACATATTGGACTGAACCTGGGAGGAAGAAGCAGACTCGAAAAATATAAACGTCAACAGAAGCCAGAACAAGCTGTCAAGATCCGTCATTAGGAGCCAAACAGTTTGATGATGCTTTTCTTACAGTCGAACAAGAATACGCGTAAAAAAAGAACCATAGAGTTACAAAGTTACAATGCAATGTATTGTAACCATACAATAGAATTGTTGTACACAGAAAAAAACAAGTTTTTGAAGATTACATCCAGATCAATCCATCGGTTGTGTAACATAACGTTGTACGATGTACATCGATTTTGCGAACAAAATTACATCCATTGATGTAATATTGTATCTGCTTTTTGCTATTATGTACATCATTATTTCATACATCAGCTTGAATTACGTTGATCGATATTACATTTTTTTTGCTGTGTATTGTATTGTAACCATACAATAAATAATGCTTTTACAATAAATCGTACTGTCCACAAAGATTAAATATCCATATAATTTATTGTTTGCACAACAGGATCTATGGTAAATTGGGAAATCTACAATAGAGCAAGGAGGTTGTTATGTAATTTAACCATTCAAAAAATTACTTTTTCCCGAACAAACTCGAGCCATTTATCATTAATTTTATTCTTTTTCTACTGTTTAAAATTCATACTATATAGAACGTATCATAGAACTACAGTAATAACAATATGTATGTATGATATACATACAATCCAGCATTCCATGCTTGGTAATGGCAGCCTGTTTATATGAATAAATGTATCCTTCACTGTGCTTTTTGACACTAACTGGAGGGCGTATGTTGTTCCATTTTCTTCTGTTTCTGGGAGAGGGAAACGGAGGGATCAAAATCCGAACCTCCAGATAGTGTCAAAAAGCACAGTAAAGGATACATTTATTCATACAAACATTCCACCATTACCGGGCATGGAAAGCTGGATAATTCCAATTGTTGGCAATAGGTTAAGTTGTGAATATGTTATATTTTATGGCTATTTTTTTCCGGGTACACAAGGTGGTATTGAAATATTGCGTAAAGTAATTTACGACAAACTGTCATTTCCAGCTATGTTATTCAATGGGACATTGTTTTTGGAATTCATTAATCGAAAAAACTCAAATTATATTGAAAGGTAGTGGCATACTAAAATACAGAACAGAAACTACATTTTTTCACTGCACACTGGACAATCTCAAAAAATCACAACACGCTCAAAGCAAAACAGGACATTTTGCTGCGTCTATTTTCATTTGATTTCAATGGCATAAATTTTCATGACAAGAAGAACAAGAACCTCCCAGGGCTGAACTTTATCGTTGGGTCGAATATATCGTTCCTTTTTTGACAACAATAACGAGTGTCAGCGAGAAGCTCAACTCAAAATTAAGTTAAAATAACTCAAATTGCAATTCATCGAGCCATCAACTCATGAACTGGGGACCAAAGGCTTTACTTCCCATCCGGAGGAAGGCGTGATCAGAGAGTTTATGCCTCAGAAAATTCCAGCGGCGCCGACTGGGATTGAACTCAAGCTTTTTGGATTGAGAGGCAATCAAGCTTACCACTACCACTGGCGGCGCTAAAAATTGGCATGATGTTTAATCAAAAATTCCTTATTCTGATGTAAACCAACGGTTTGGTTGACGTTTCCTCTCAAACTCTCCTGGCGCACTCTACATTGAGGGGTGCATTGAAAAAGCGTATTGGCTCTGGCTTTGACAGTTCGTTTGACTCAAAACCAGGGATGTAAGGACCTTATTTTGCCTTACCATCAGGTATTCAACATGGCGTCCAGTGTCTTTGTTTTGATTATTTCGATCATCATAAAATACCAGTAAACGAATTGATTAGGCTTCCAATTTATCAGTTTATTGCTCCTCATTACTCATTGCCTTGAAAAACATCGAAAGCCGATTGAAACATTGATTTTGTATCGAAATTTCAAAACAAGTTCATTTATCTCAATGAGCCCTTTGCTCATTGCACTAGTTAAACCAACCAGAAAGTGAGCACCAAAATGCAAAACATCAAAATCAATATGAGAAAGATGAGCTGCTCAAAACCAGCCAGTCCGCTCCTCTCTTATAGCGAATTTGTTTATTATAGGGGTTGGAGCCAGTTCCAACAGCCGGTGGAAACTAACGATTTTAAATTGGCTCACTAGCTTGACTAACTTGGCTTGACTAGCCTATTGGTCTCAAGTACATCTAGAAGCGTATCCCATTATAGTCGAAATTATAGTACTACACTATGTTTGTTTTGATTCGCTATAAAAGTTTGATAGATAAAATGAGGGGTTAGTGGATTTTACAATGTTTCGAAGGGTGCATCGATTAGCTTGGGACCGAATATAGTACTAGAACTGAGCCAAAAAGTTGAGCATGTTTCTTCGGAACCTTAGAGTTAGTTAGTTAGTCTTAGAGTTACCTCTATGGTAGAAGTTCAGGTATACACTAATAAAAAATCAATGATTATTTTTATGTGTCCCTCACATGTATTTTTGCAATGTGATAAACAAATGATATATATGTGTTGGACACATAGTTCTTATTTGACTCATAAATTTCATGTGTACTTCTGAGTGGATTCTTTTTATGTGGACACATGAAAATCATGTGGAATTTTAAATGGAAATTCGTCAATAAAAATGTGTCGAATTTTATCAGTGTATAGACATTTCTGAAGTTTGTGAAATCTAGATAGAGCTGGAATTAGGGCGCAACAGCTTTTGTAAATAATGACTTCTCTCGATGATTTCCAGAAACTCAAGGCTCGCTCAATCAAGTCAATATCACCATCAGGTATGGGAAGTCTTCCCCTACCCGATGCCTGTGTTGGTTTGCGTTGGCGCGCCTTGCATTCCTAGAAATCATCGAGAAAATCTATTGTTTACAAAAGCTGTTAGGCCCTAATTCCAGCTCTATCTAGAAATGCACAAGGATTATTGCAAACTTATGGTAAATTATAAGTATTAGTATTACGCATTTCCCACCAAACTGGACAAATAAGCGCGGTTTCACTTATTAAAAAGTGTGATAAAAGTGCCCGTTTACGTCAAATCGTTTGGTTGTCTTCAATGCATTTATTCCTTATGGAATAAGAAATAAGTGCACCGAAGACAACAAAACGATTTGACGTAAACGTGCACTTTTATCACACTTTTTGCATTTTTGGAGCAGTCCAGTTTTAGTTGCAACCAACAATACAAGAAAAACTTTGAATTTACCCAAAGTTCTGCACTAATACTTGTGTAATTCACAAGCGTCAGAGAAGTCCTATGGAGAAAGTTCTAAAACTGCAGGAACTCAGAGCTGTGTAACTGCAGTTTTTAGAAATTTCTCATACAACTGAATAGAAATGAACTCTCAATCTGAGCTATTCTCATTGGCCGTGAAATAATGTTAACTTTGGTCGATAAGGCACAGTGTCCTTAAACATTATTTTTCAGTGGGTTTGTTATGCTGCGCGATGCAACATAAAGTGCGTGTGTGTACGTCTCATACGGTACGCGGTAGAACATCAAAATAATCGCAATTTTTATCAGCTAGAAAGCAAAATCAATTGATAAGAAATGAAAACAACATTTAATTCCGTTCGATCCACGTCCGGTGTGATCTGAAGTGTGCGATAAATATAGTAACTACTAACAGTTAATGTTGTAATACGTAAACCTACTGCCAGCAGCAGGAAGTGCGCTTCGTGAAAAAGTGCAAATTGCGTGCTGCAGTGAAAATTTTTGACAACAGGATTACCGTGCTAAATCGAAGCATAGTGACACAGACAGGAAAAGGACCTTGGCAGGTTGGTTGCTCCAAATATCCCGAGGGTAGCCTTTCTTCGGAGGGATGAATGTGGAATTACGTGATTTTGAAATCAGTGACTCAGAGGCAGAATTACTAATCGCACCTTCCGGCAGCGGCCGAGTGATAAGCCGAACATACGGTGGACGTTCTTTGCGAAATCGCAGAAGGGAACCGTTCAAGCTGGCGAACTTTCTGAAGACATTGTGCTGGTGAGTGTTGTTTTTTTTTCTTCAAATTCTGTCTAAGAGGAATAAACTGTTGAAAGTTGTAGTTAGTTCTGAATGTTTGTGTCAAAATCACACCCTCGAATCATTTCTTTGTCTTCCCTTATTTAGGAATTTATGACCTACGATACTAATATACATTATATACGACACACGGTATGCGGTACAAGTAATAACATGAAAAGGTTTAAAACTGTAATATCATTTATGCCTACGTTCAGTAACCAAATTTTTGTTATGTTTTATGTTGTTTTGAACTCAATTCAATAGGTTACAGTTGTGGGCTAGGTGGAGCTGCAAAATTTCAAATACTTCTATAGAAAATAAATAGCTACACGGCCAATCATACCAACTCAGCGACTGAGAATAATTGACTCAGAGAATTTTCTTTCCATACGAAATTTACTCAGCTATGAGTAACTGCAGTTTCTTCCAAATCTGAGTAAATTTCGTATGGGAAGAAAATTCTCTGAGTCAATTATTCTCAGTCGCTGAGTTGGTATGATTGGCCGTGTATCTTTAAAATTGTATCAATATTTTTACAATGGGAACTGAACCTACCTTTGTAATCAATGACTTCATTCGATAATTTCTCGTGAACACAAGTTCACTTATACAAACCAACAACATTACCGACTGGGCTGTTAGGGCCCAATATGTCACGCTAAATCGAGGAAAAATTATCCTGAGGGACCCCTGCATCAACGTTGAACGTATCAGAGGGGACATTGTTCAAGTAGACATGGAATGATCTGCCCGACAAGTAGTTTTTGATGATCTTCACGAGGTAGATCGGAAAGTTGTATCGATGCAGTTTGTACGCTAGGCCATCATGCCAAACATTGTCGCCTTCTCAACGTCCAACAATGCCATAGCAGATGTTTTCGAAACAAACTTGTTCCGCCCGATGATGTTAATAACTCTACTTAGTTGGTGGATCGTTTAATGGCCTTTCCTAAACTCGAATTGCTCCTTGAGTAAGATATTATTTTCGTTGGAAAACTCCAGCAACTCGTTGAGTATCAACTTTTCGAATAGCTTCGAGGCCTTCATATTTTTAGTTCTTCTAACAGCTATCACCTCATCAGTCGATATTCTACTAACATCATGCACTACTACGGGGTGTCAGCGACATAACCTCCAGTACGATAGGCTCATTGGGGCTCACCATGGCATGACTGACCCAAGCAACGAATATCACATGCGTGTGTGTGTGTGTGTGTGTATTCAATCTAACCCCCACTGGCCGGCAGTGTTATTATGGAAGAACTCTCTCTACAATGTCGCATTTATGGTCATTGTAGACAGCTTTAGTCTGGGTGTTAGAAGGTGATAGCTCTATTGCAGATCCAGCAACCTATTTCAGAATGTCTGGAGAGTCACGCCCATTCCGAGGTTACTTTCACTCACAATAAGCCCCGCATGTATGTATCATCGTTATCAAATGGATATTGGTATTACATACACGCTTCCAGGTTCGAAAATATATTTTTTCAAACCTGGCATGTATTTAGTTTAATTTTGATATATTTTTTTTTAATAATTGGAAAGCATCTTTTGGAATCCCTTGGACTTTTTCTCTAATGATTCGTATTTCATTCCGTGCTTCACCGGCAATTTCCTTCTGTAGATCGTCCTTGGTTGGTTCTAATATGGTTCCGCCTTTTTTGGTGAGTTTCATTGAATTGAATTGAATTGCCATAGTGATCTAGGACGAGGCTCACGTCCAAAGTCGCTGGAGAATGAAAGAAATAAGAAAGGGATCAGTTTCAAGAAGTGACAGTTTCATCAGATTCCCCAACTAACCATAGTCAAGCAAAGTAAGAATATACAAGCTATATTGCGACTATATGGTACCCAAGCAACGAATATCACATATACCCAAAATATCCGTACTTCCAACCAATCAGAGGACAGCAACTTCCTAGTGTTATAGAAAGGTACTTGCAATCAATCAGAGGAGCGCATCTTCCCTGTGTGATAAAACTGCTTCTTCCTCTTTTTCTTTTATTAATCAAATGAATTTGTAATTCAATTGTTTTAGACTTGTTTATTTTATTATTAGATTCATCTGTACCCTACAATCGGTAGCGTTGAAACACGCTCAACCATCACCGCACGAATTTTCCAATCACCTCCACAACAAAGCCCCTGACACAACTAAAAAAAAGTTAAAGATTTCGATATTTTTGCCATGAAGCAGCAACTTGAGTAAACTAAATAGTAGGTTTGTTTTCAACTACTTTTTAGGTTGTTATTAACCCAAACAATAATTTAGTTTGCTTTAACCTAAAAGCCAGGTTTAACTTTGGATTTATTTAGCCATCTTTAACGTGGTTAAAACAAATTTCTGAAACAACTAAAATGTTGGGTTGAATCAGCTAAAATTCATTTGACTTTGATTCATCATAAATTTTAGGTTTAACTTCAACCATATTTTTGGTTGTTTCAAACTAGACTCATTATTATTTCTGTCCGTGAACTCAATTTGCTTGATTTGATATACGTTTTACTTCAGTGTTGCTAACTGCGCATAGTTTTTGCAGTGGCAAACATAAAAGTAGGTGGTTGTCAAATCGAAACCGTACCCACCCAACGAGCCACCCACATCCGAATGCCTCAATGTTTGTGTGAGCTACCAGCATGATGGATGTAAACAAAAAAACATAGCACTGTTTTGCTTTTAACTGGAGTTGTGTGGTGAGACATCGCTCGTATCCATGTTTTTCTGGTGTTTGTGTTCGAGTATTTTCACGGAAACGTCATTTTTACACAACCGAGACAAACCCAACCAGCAGAAGCAGAAGGGTGCATCTTTTCAATCGTCGTCGAAAGTGTTCTATTTATTATCTTTTTCGCTAGTAATTAAACGTCGTAAAAATCTACCAAAATTCATGAGCTACAAGTAATCCGCGCGATGGAAACCGTTTCGCAGCCCGTTCCATCGTCTACAGCGGTCACCACCAAAGAAACGATCCCCCTCATCGAGAAGAGTCGCAAAAGTCGTCTCTGGTTAAGGTAAAAAAAAAAATACGCACAGCTTGTGCTGGCAACAAGCAGAAAGAAGATGACGAATCAATGATGGCGTTTCGCTTATCAGGAAGATTAATTTTTTTTTATTGCCGAATGTTATTTTACTTCAAATTGTGTCTACCCGGTGATAACGTTAAATTTTAGGCTTGATATTCATTGGCTTGAAGAAAGTAATGTTATACGATGGTTTCCTATTGTGTTGGAAGTTCGGAAAATGACGTCGCCGAGCTAAAAATAAGTGCATTGCAAATGCCTATCGATTTTCACCTGTGGTTCTGCACGGATGCCTTTTTGTAGTCCCATATACGATCCGGTTGAATATTGTTTTTAAATTTCACTACTCTGGGATCGATAAAATAATTGCAACCTTACACTTACAACTTTCTCTGTTATAAAACGATATAAATGATAGCGTATTTCCATTTCCACGCAGGTTTCATTTACACACTGAGGCAAAAAATTCTTAATAATTCCATAAGACATGACTTATGAACCTGGACAATTTTGATTTCATAAGATTCTTATGGATATGAATATGAATGATTATCGTAATACATTAGGTACTACGAGTGGTTTTTATACACCTTTAACCTATTCTATTTGGGGCAGCCTAAGGGAATCTAAGGATTTGTCGACTAACGAGGGTTCGTGGATTTGCCAGTCCCTTGTCACGTGATAACAGATGGCCATCTGGTCGTTTTGTCTTCCAAAGGTCTTCAATGAAGCTGATTGACCCTGCTGCAACAAACCATCAGGCAGAACTTTACAACCGGTAAAGTATCTGCAGTCTGCAGACATCCCTAATAAAAATAACCATAAAAGAGAGCTTAACGACGTATTCGGGGTATCATCCAAACCATTTGTGGGATAGTTTACCCATCCGGGATACAGTTCATTTATGGTATTTGTTTATTAGGGATTGGTAATCCTTGCACTGATGGTGGGTTCCATTCACATCACATCACCTTTAACCTATTCTATTTCCCAAGCGTTGATAGACGTGGAAACAAATCACAGAGTCAATAATCTGATCGCTCAGGATTTGAATCCGGTGTGGTACATTTTATATTACTTTTTTTTAAGTTTCATAAGCTAACTTATGAATTCTGTTTCATAAGCCAAACTTATGATTTCCATAAGAAATCCTTTTGTCGAAATTTCATAAGTGATTATTATGGAATTCAAACGTTCCTTTGCCTCAGTGCAGGAATCTCCCCGAATAGTTTTTAATTCTCCCCTACCAGTGGAACAGTTTAAAGAGACGTTAATAGACGGAAGCCCCCCGAATAGCGCGGTAGGTGGTGACGTTCACGTTCAAAAAATCAATTCAATTGGATGGAGGACAGCCGACAGCCGTGCTATTCGGTGGATTCTTGTATATCAACTCCGTTTGCGTTGCGTTGACTTAAATTCGCCTGTTAGATAATAGATTTAGCTGTCACTTTACCGTAAGGGGCTGTTCATAAACGTTGACAATTTAGAGGGGGGGGGGGTTATTGGCATTTATCCACGGCCAATACAAATTTAAAAAAAAAAATGTATGGACAATTGTCTACGTAGGGGGTGGGGGTCAAGAATTAAAAAAAAAACTACGTACTTAATGAACAGCCCCTAACGTGTCAGATCAGGATCTAATGTGGGTGGCCCTTTCAAATATTATGTAACGCATGAAAGTGGATTTTTGAATAACCCTCACCCCCTTGTCACGCACTTTCCCTATACCTAATACATGGTGGTTAACATATTTCCAGACTAACCCCACTCCTCTAGCGTTACGTAATATTTGAATGGGCCCTTACGGTAATCCCTCCATTTATGCAGTGGTTGGTATCGTTCACCCACCGCTATTTCTCGGCTATCCTTAAACCAATTGAACAGATTTTCTGTAGATTACTAGTTTATGGTTGACACTAGTCACATACAAAAAAGCGCTATTGGTGTAAGGAAAGCCG